GTATAATCTATTATCATATACCTTATCGGCAATATAGGAGAAACTAGTCCACTTCATTGAAAAAAATATATGAATGCTGCAAAAGTTTTGATTTGATTTGATTTGTTTTGTTTTGTTTTTTGTTCTTTTGTCTCATTAAATTTCCGTATTGTCTATTTGGGCAAATAGTCAAACAATATCGTGTGGTGTCAATATCTCCGTACCCTGTGATATATATATCCCGATGAGACCCGTGAACATTATTTATTTACACTATAAACGTCTCCCATTCGAAAACATCGGGAGTCCCCCAGTGAACCAGAAGATTTAGGGGGAAAAAAAAATCCACACAGAAAAAGAAGAGGAAATGAGGAGAAAGGAAAAATAAAACGCTCTGGACGGTCCATGTTAGACCAATACAGACACGAGGAGAAATCCAACGGGCAGTGAAGTAAGTAAACAAAGAAATCCCGCAACGGAAAGAATACTTCCCCAAGAACCAACCCAAACCAAACAGAAAACAAACAAGAGAAGAAAGAGGAAATCATATATCCGACGAGCCGGACACCGGTGCGCCGTCCTTCTGCAAACCGAGACCAGAGATACGACTCCGCCGCCTGGCCTTCAGCCGATGCTCGGTATCCATAAGCTTCTTCTGCAACCACATGCGGCCCTCGTGGTCCGTCTTGATCGGGGCCGAGTTGAGCAGCTCGGTCAGCGCCAGCTTGACCTGCTGGTCAGCGTCGTTGGACTTGGCGCCATTCCACGCGTCGAGGAGCGGATCATTGGCGACGCGGGACGGGTGCGATGGCGGGGGCGTGGAGGAGTAGCGGACTGATGACGTTGGTGGTGGTGATGTTGATGGTGATGGTGCTGATGATGATATTGACGATGATGATGATGATGGTGGTGGTGGTGGTGGTGGTGAAGATGTTTGGGCGGGATAGGAGGAGAGGGAGGCGCTACAGGGCGACGCGTATCGGCTTTGTGGTTGGGTGATGGAGCGGGTGGAAGTAGGAAGGGTGTTGAGTTTGTGTTGTGAAGGGAGGACCGTATGCATGTCTTTTGTCTTGGGTTTTCGATATGGGGCTTTTTCCCCTTTTCTTTTCGGGGAAGGTTTTTTTTTTTTTATTTTTTTTTTTTTCTGCTTTATTTTATATATCGGCGTTATATGTTTGGCGTGGATGGGTTTCGACGTGGCCGTGGTAAACGAGTGAAGAAGCCCTTGCACCGACCTGTTATAAGATAGCTGCAGAGCTCATAAGGAGACCATGGAGTAGACTGTCATTCAAGATTGCAAAGCTCTGGCTGCTGATAGGGATGGGATTATTATTCCGCGCTGAATGTGATCGTGCTCGTGCTCAATGGCATTTGGCTTCATCGACAGACAAGCTCACGGAGGCAGCATGGATCTTGGGCATTGTGGGAGCGTGGATGCTCCATTATATTCATGATGAATGATAATGGCCGACTCGGCTATGATGCAATGAAGTGCAGACTGAGTTCGTCTGAACAGGTCTGGAGCCAGAATAAGCTCCGTTGTTCGTTGCCGTGTGGCCAACTATCCACGATCCAACGACCAATTCGCTGGAATACAGCAATCAAGGCCCACGGCACCAACGAGAGTTCACGTGGTTGGCGTCATCGACACTCGACACTCGGGAGCGAGAAGAAACTAAAACCTTAACCTTTGTGGACAAGGTTTTAAATTTTTTTCAATCCTTTTTATATGTATATTTTTGAAAGGCAACCTCGCGAGGATTTTCTGGTTGGCCCTTCGCAATTCCAAGTTTGCGCACAGATTAGGGTGCGCCTTCGCCCGCATGGTTCTCAATTCCACTCCCCACCTCGGCAGCAGAGGGTTTGGCCAAGCTCAACAACAACTTGTCAACAGCGGAGGATAGTGTGGTCGTGGGAAACGCCGAGGGCAGAACCTTGGAAGCTCCTGTGCTGCATCTGCCGGGCACATATGGGTTGCAAGCAAGATCTCGAAGAAGATAGAGAAGGAGCTTAAACTCTATCTGTGTCCTGTTGACGATCAGCATTTGCCATGGTTAGGGAATTTTGGATTTTCCGTTTCCAGCCATGTTCAACGTTCATAGAACCAGGCATCGGCATCGGCAGCAATTGTTGTTCAGATACCACCGCTACTCCGTAGGTAGCTCCCGGTGGCGACTTTGCTTTGGTGACTCCAGAAAGTTTGATAGAGGCCTCGATTAGTCATGGTTGGCATGCTTGGCGCTGACTCACCCCCCGCGAGTGCACGGGCCAGGCCAGACCCGGCCCAGACAAGCTTTGGTGAGCCGCTAGTGACTTGGCGTGCCGGCCTTGGCACGCTCGTTCTGGAACGAGCGTCGGTTCGGGTTCGGATTCGACTCGAGTTTCCTTGGCGGGTTTCTGAGTCAGCTGGTTGGACTTCTAGTTGATCAAGACGAAATTACTATTGATAGTATAGAAGGCAGTTGATGAGTTCCAGAAAAGCATCACGCAGCCGGGCTAATACTAGTATAGAACCAACTTGAGAGATGGCCCTTTTTAAATAGAATACTCGTACACCTCGATCTCAAACCTGGGTTGGTGGTGAGTTAGTCAGTCACTCGGAGTCAACTAACCACTTCGTACTATTTTAAAAACAAAAACAAGACTGACTGAAAAGGCCAAAGAGAAAGAGAAAAGCTGACGACAACTCAGCAGCCACGACAGCAACGAACATGAAATCATTGCATTGGATGAAGAGCTTTAGAGTCTAGAGCTCTCTCTGAGTCTACCTGTCTGTCTGTCTTCTTTTTATTCTCATTGCTGTTTTATGGATTAACTTTTCATATTCAGGCCATCCAAGCATACTAAGTTATCCACGGGGCGCGTTAGCGGCGTTATAACATGACCCCCCAAATAACCAGGTTATCCCGGACGCCACCACAGCCAAACCCCCCCTGGATAACTGAGTTATACGGGGGGGGGTCTGCTTGGCATGTTATCTTGGCAGTTATTGAAGCTCCATACAAGATGATTGACTGAAGAAAAATAGTATGAATAAAAATCAATTGTCATTATTATAGATCTGACTAACTAGTTAGCTATCTTTCTTTTATTTATCTATATAATCTGCTTGACTTCATCATATGAGCTACTAATTCTAGACATCAATATAGAGGTGCAGATCATATCTAAATGTTGTATATAAATTTTATATAATTAAAATAAATAAAAATAATACATATTTGTCTCTTCAGAAAAGACAATGAAAATGAAAATGAAAGAAAAAAAAATTATATATACTGAAAAGAAAGAGTTAATCAAGAATTATAAAAGCAGTAGATGTTGAATCAACTGTGAGCAATCATTGTTTAAAAAAACTGTTCTTCATTGTTGAGAATCATTCTTCTCATTGTTCATAATCTCTATCATCTTCATCTCTTTTCCATCTTGTATAAAGCAGTGAATGATATGATCATAACATTTGCAGTTGTCATAAACTTCATCAAAGTGATCAAGTAGATGATAGTATTCTGAGAATGATTGAAGATTTGAATGAATATTTCAACAAATAAAACACATATATAACTTTAGCTGATTATGAGATTGAATGAGAATGATATTGATGTATGATAATTAATGACTTCAAATCTGCAACTCTGTTATGTTGTTTTATATAAAGAATATATCTTACTCTGAGAGAGTCAGAACTGCTTTAAATTGTGAATTGTGAATAAAAGAACTCAATTATTAACCAATTATAAAAAGAATGTAATGAAAGTTCTGAAAATTAAAAAGACTGAGAAATGAAAAAGCTCTATTTTATATAAAAAAGAGAACAGTTAATATTGTGATATTTAATTGATGAAATAATCTACTGAAGCTTCATACATATATGATTGATATAATGATGTGTTGAAAAAAGAAAAAAAGAAGAAGAGAGAAAAGAGAAGAAGAAAATATTATTATAAAAAAAAAATAAATGTAAAAAAGCAAATTCAATTCATTATTTTAATTATCATCATCAATTTATCAATTCATTCATCTCTTTCAATCAGCTCATCTGTAAAGAGCGTACTTTGATTAACAGCTAACACTATTCTAATACAGTTTACATTGAAACTAAGCCAAAATGAAAAGCTTGCTCAATAAAATGTAAAAACAAACTTTTTACTACAATAATGCAGCTAAAGCTTGGACATGGTTATTTTAAATCATATTTAACAAAGATTAGAAATGATTTATGTGATTTATGTTCAGATTGTCAATTATATGAAAACTCAGCGCATCTTCTTTTACTTTGTACAAAGCATACAGAGTTAAGGTTGAGATTGAGAGAGAAGTTTGAATTGACACAGTGAAATTTAAAACTTTTGTTCAATATAAAAACTGGAAATGAATTCTTGATTAAATATTTGAAAGAATCAAATATTGCTATAAGATTTCAATTGAATAGTTTGATCTGATAATAAATTCAATTTTTGTTTTTCTTTTTTTCTTTTGTTTCTATGTATTTGCTTTAATTTTTGTTTTTGTTTTATTTTTATTTTGTTACTTTTGCTTTAAAATTTATTTCATTTTGATTAGTTTTGATTTTGACTTGTTTTGAAAAGTTTGATTTGTGAATGGTTTCTTTTCTTTTAATAGCTGCTGTTTTTTATACTTTTTATTTCATTTATTTTGAATTGAATGTATTGATCTATTGTCATTCTTTTGACATTCTTTCTTAAATTGAATAGTTTGAATAGTTATTTGATTCTGGGCTGGAATTCTGCTATTGCATGTATTAAATTGACTTTGTATATTAGCTTATTTTTAAGTTGAAAAATCCTGGAGTGTTTCAGGTAGATGTCATAGTCACTGACTTTATATATCTATAATGGAAGAATAATAATAATAATAATAATTTTACTATAAATTCAGTGAGAACTTCAGTTAAAATATTTTATTTAAAAATAATTTAAAGCTGTTGTTTATTTTCAATGCTTCTAAAAAAGAATTGTCCATTTGATGAATTTATAAAAGAATTTATTTGTTTTAATCAAGGAAATTCTAACACAAAATTATAGTTCTTCATCTTCATTGCATGAAAGAAATGAGATATCTGCTGTGCATTACTCTTGTGATCAGTGACAGTAATTGCAATGTTATACTCTTTAAAGAAGTGCATTATACATTCATCAATCAATTTGATCATCTTGATTTTGTGATGAGCAGTTTCTAAATCTTGATTTTTTATTCAAATTCATTGACATAATTCACTTCTGATTCAAAGTCTATTAGTGTAAACACTTTTTGCAGACTTTTAAATATAGTTATTTTTATTGTGACAGTGAAGTTTAAGATGTTTTTGCATTGACTTTCCATGTTGATAACTGTCATTGTGAGTTGAATGATGTGTTTTAAACGTTTTTTCAATTCTTTGAATTTTTTATATTTTTCACATTGAGTTTTGAATCAGATTTGATGTTCATGAATTCATCTTTAAATCATTTAAAGCATGAATTAATGGTATTTTCTGATCATTTGTAATAACAGCAATATTTCAATTAAATGAAGTCATCAAACTTTGTAATGTCATTCTATCTGCATTTGTTTTCTAATTTATTATCAGTATTATTTCTATTATTAAAGCTTTGAATAAAGTTTTTGAAATTTGACTTCTCTTTAAATTTCTTTCATCTTTCTCATAGATTTGATTCTGTCATTGCAAGTTTGTGAAAAGTGGCATCATAACTTAACTCTTTTAGTTTGATTGCATATTTGTCAAATTCTTGATGAATGAAAGATAGAACTTTCATATAAAGGTGTGATTTCTGACGGTATTTGCTATAAAAATGCCGCAGATGCTTTTCAATTGATTGTAAATGTGAAATAAATTATTGAATTGCATGATTTTTTTATTACTCTGTTTTTCAGTATTGTCTATCTGCATTTCAAAAACTTTTATCTGAATTAGTGATTCGACATTGCATTCAGTTAACAAATTCTTTCCATGATGTCAAAATCTGCATATTATGTGTATGTTAATATCAATGTTGTTGCATCTCAACATTGAAATGCATGATGACTTCGATGATCTTCCAATGATTGTGTTTGTTGTAATAATTAAGATCACTGATATGGAAAGTAATAGCAGCTATAATAAAGTTTTCAAATTCTTTCATATTTTGATTTCAGAACTTTTCCACATCTTTCTGAGAAAAATAATCACTCATATTGAAATCTCAAAATTCTAATTATCAAAGTGATATCTGACTACATCTCCTACTGACAGTGATCACAGTGCTTTTCATTAAAATGTTAGATATTTATAATATAGATTCTGATGATCTGAGAATGTTTGTGATGTTTATGCAGTTACGATTCACAATAATTGCATCTCTATCATAGTTCAAATGCACTTTGAGTGTATTTCAAATGATTGAAATAATTTGTAATAGGCGCAACGGAGATATCTATATTTAGATAATAGATACTTGGCGATAGATACGTGGCGATAAATACGTGGGCGATGGCAATATTATTTATATAATTGCTCGCTGATATCCCGTGGGATTTTAGGGAGATCAGCGAATTAGCTTTTGAACAAATAGAGGATTTGCTACCTTTCTTAATATCCCTTTGTGCGTACCTTCACACCTACTCTTGGTAAATTACATCTGGTAAGCCTAATCTCTTACATAAATTTTCATGTTATTTTTTATTAATCAAAATATTTGGCATTTGATGTGTGAAGTTTTTTTGCCAATTTTTTTCCTCCAGGTCTGTTAAACTTCCATAAATT